ACCCTCTGGGGTAAATGAAATAAAAGCCCTGGGAGCTGGTGCGAGGCCGTGCTCGGCCGCTGGTTTCCCCCCAGCACGCTGCAGGCACCGGGCAGATGCTGGGTACCGTTCCCAAGGCAAAGGATGCTCAGAGGTAAGGCTGTAGCGGCTACTCGTGGGAATTGGAAGGTTTTCAAACCTGCTTCAGAACGACTATCAAATGGCATTTTTCTTGTTGCGGGATGGTTTCGGGCGTTGAACACACGGTGTATTTTTGGGGCAGAAGGGCGACGCTCAAGGTGACCCTGGCCCCGAGCTGGGCTGGTTGCTGGAAATGGTTGAATTTGGTTTGCTGCAATTCCGTCCCCCCCCCCCATCTCCACCCGAGCCCACGCAGGCCCGGCGCTGCTCACGCAGCAATTTTGCACGTGGACGCTGGGGCACGACGACGCGGAGCCTCCCCGGGGCCGTTGGCTGCCGCTGCCCCTCTTGGCTGTCCCGACCTGCTGCAGAAGAGGTTTGGCTGGGTTTGCCTCCCCCTTTTTCTTATCTGGGAGATGCTGCCGCCACCCAGAGCTGGGGAGGTGGGGAGAGGCCCCATTAAACTCCCCTGCTTGAATGCCACTTGTTTTTGCGGGAAGCGTGCAAGGCCAACACACCCGTCTCGTTACAGCTGCGCTGCAAATGCACCAAATTCCCCCCCCCTCAAATATGTTTTGTCAGCCTGAAGCCCCCATCCTGCGAGTGGGCCCAGTACTGCTGCCTGCCCTGGCTGCTGTGCTTAGAGAAAAAATGAACATGCATCGTGTTCTTTTTGTGCCAGCTTCACATGTGCCTCTCCTCAGCCTGCTCTTACCTGGAGAGACACAGCTTTATGGTCTGGATCTTCCTCTTTCCTTTTTGTTTGGTTGGTTGGTTGTTTTTTTCCTTTTGTTTTTACCACCAAAGCTGCTTCTGAATGACCCAAAGGCAGTAAAACGGGTGTGCAAATTACCCCAGCTGCAGATGCAGCCACCTGTCCTTATGGGATCTTTAAATTCCTTTCACTGATGTGACAGCATGGTTAATTGTTCAAAAGCAAAGCCTGACCATAAACTTTAACCCATTGCTTTTATCACACAGCATTAGATTTTGCAACACCACCAATTACACAACATATTGTAGGCAATAAGCATGGCAATTCTGCCTAACAGTAACATTACACGTAGTTCTTACACTTAATTATTAAAATAAAGCATTAGCAATAATGCAAGCACTGTTGTTTGCAAATAGTAGTAGAATAGAAGTGGAACGAGAACAATTTTTTTTTTCTTTCATTTACAAGTACGTTTCACTTTTTTTTTTTTTTTTTTTTTTTCATGGTTTGGGATGGGATCTTAAAGCCCCCCCAGTGCCCCCCCCTGCCCCGGGCAGGGCCCCCTTCCCCCAGCCCAGGGGGCTCCCAGCCCCGTCCAACCTGGCCTTGAACCCTTCCAGGGAGGGGGCACCCACAGCTGCTCTGGTCAACCTGTTCTGCCTTACCACCCTCACACTGAACAGCTTCTCCCTTATATCTAATCTAAATCTCCCGTCTTTCAGTTTAAAACCATTCCCCCTCATCCTATCCCCACACCCCTGACCCAGAGTCCCCCCCCCACCTCTCCTGCCCCCCCTTTAAGCCCTGGGAGGCCGCTCGGAGGGCTCCCCGGAGCCTTCTCTTCTCCAGGCTGAGACTCAACTTGGCCTCACAGGGGAGGTGCTCCAGCCCCCTGAGCATCTTCGTGGTAAGATGCCCATCTCACCTTGCAAGGTGCAGTCACCCCGGGTAAGGCACTGGGAGCTGTTTGGGATTCCTGGCATGTACCTATTTTACACACTCAGGCAATGAGAAGATACAAGGGCAGTTTGGAGCAGGTTCTTGCTGGGAGCCCTGGAGAAAAGCCACAAAACCCTACGGTACTGGCCAAAGCACTAACTGGGGGTGTGGTGTGTGCTGCTGTCCTGAAAATAGTGAAATTAGTATTTGTACAGCACTTTACCTGGGATGCCCTCCGTCTGGACCCACAGCAGTGCTCAGCCACACGCATGGAGACCCACGTTTGTCATCTGCATGCTTCATCTCTGCATCACACCACATTCCCTGAATAACTCTGGGATGAATTTATCTGGCCGAGCTGCTCCGTTTGCCCTGGCAAGGAAAGCCCCATGCGTACAAGGGGACGGTCTCTACTCAAGGCCACGTCTGAGCTGACCCAACAATCTCATTGCCTTCAAACATCCATCTTTCTTTTTTTTTTAAAAAAAAAAAAAAAAAAATGATCGTGAGGCCTCCTGTGATTTTGTGTATCACTTTTTTTTTCCAGCATCTGTAGGAAGCGGGTGACGAGCTGAGCATCTCACCTGGCATCAGCTCGGGGCTGGGCTGCTCTAAATGGGGTGCTGAGGGTCCCGTGCTCACGTCACCCGCAAATATCTTCAAAGATCACCTGAACGTGGACAAAAGAAAGTACGAGCAAGCCCCAGGCTGGCAAACCTGGGGTCTCAGCGGTGAGGATGAGGATGGCACCTCTCCTTCGCCCCTTTGATCTCGGTGGCCTTGGTCAAATAAATCACTTACTGCTGCGTGGAGAGGCTCGCCAGCTGTGGGACGGGTGGGAATTGCTCCTGAGCTGCACCCTGCTGCTACCTGCACCCTGCTGCAACCTGCACCCTGCTGCAACCTGCACCCTGCTGCACCCTGCACCCTGCTGCAACCTGCACCCTGCTGCAACCTGCACCCTGCTGCACCCTGCACCCTGCTGCACCCTGCTGCTACCTGCACCCTGCTGCAACCTGCACCCTGCTGCACCCTGCACCCTGCTGCACCCTGCACCCTGCTGCTACCTGCACCCTGCTGCTACCTGCACCCTGCTGCACCCTGCACCCTGCTGCAACCTGCACCCTGCTGCACCCTGCACCCTGCTGCACCCTGCACCCTGCTGCTACCTGCACCCTGCTGCACCCTGCACCCTGCTGCACCCTGCACCCTGCTGCACCCTGCACCCTGCTGCTACCTGCACCCTGCAGCCTGCGGGCCCACAACCGCCTGTCAAACGCGCAGAGAGATTCGAGGGGCTGATCCTTTCGTCCTGGCGCACGTAGGAACACGGTGCCTCGGGTTTCCAAGCTGTCAGTCAGGGTGGGACGCCCTGACGGCCCCTTTGGGGGATTTACACACACCGACCTTTCTCCTCCAGCGATGCTCAGGATCAGCCTCGAGCCGGCCTCTGCTCGGCGGCACACCCGCATCCCCCGTCCAAAAAACACAGGGGTTTGAATCTGCCAGTGTCACTGAGAGCTACGTATGCCAGTCCTGGCCAGGAGTTTCACAGTGCCTGAGGATTTCAGTTTGGGATTTTTGGATCAGGTTTGTTTTCTGATTCAAACTTGGGCAGCCTGTTAATTGTCTAATCCTGCCAGCCCCCCCCACACACACACACACCTCACAGTGTGGAGGTATTTAATCACAGTGCAAAGAAACGGTGCTTGTAAATGCCTGGGTATCCACACACAGAGAGCAAACAAGCGTGATGAGCAAAGACCTCAGCTGGAAGGACAAATATTGGGGAAAAACTTCAAAAAGCTCAGCCTCGGGGCCCACCTTCTTGCAGCTACACCAGCTCAAGAGCAGAATGCAGGTGCTGGGGCTGCTGGATTCAATTCCTGCATTAATGCAATGAACTTTTCTCCTCCAGTTAAAGTTTTACTTTACCAAAGGAAACCAGTGCAAAGATTAGTGGTCTTACGCTCATCTCCTTTTTTTTTTTTTTTTTTTTTTTTTTTCTCTCTAGAAAGTACATTCTGTGCCCATGTGAAGCCTGGCTGACCGAGAGCATCATCCAACTTGGCTGCCGGACCCATCAAGGCCTTATCTGGAAGGTAATGGCTTTAATCAGCATTAATCACCTTCTTGGCTGATTCAGACTTCGGCATGTCTGCTACCGATGCCACCGCCCCCTCCCCGGCCTGGCAGCTCCTCTCGCTGACGATGTCAAGGACAGCAAAGCCCGAGCCCGAGCGAGACCAGCTCAGACCAGCTTTTGCAGATGTGCAAAGTTCATGACTAGCGAGTGAGCCAAGGCGACGGGCCGCGATGTTGGGCAGCATCTGTTGTGTTTGATAGCACTGCTAGCATCAGCAACGTTTGACAGCCCAGCAATCAGCGGGGGGTGCTGAAAGGTCCAGCATTCACTTTGTTGTGGGCTTTTTAACAAAAACTTATGTTACTGTAATTATTCGAGGTAATTTTGCTATGTTTTATCACCATAGACACATACAGCAGTCTCCTCTGGATGCTCGGGACGCATACGTACAGGTGTGCACGAGCATTACAGCTAGATGTTGAAGGGGCTGTGTGTGCATGCAGGTATGTTTGTACAGATATAGAGAGACCTGTATACATCTGTATTTATATGTGTTTGGCTCTGTGTGTTATATACACACACAAATATATTTTAAAGCAGGTGCCAAGCGCTATCTAAATAAAACACTCTTAGTCATCTTCTAGCTTCTTTGCTACATATGCCGGAAAGGTTTCTTCTTGCTAACTCAGCAAGAGGTTTGTAAGGTAGCACATAAACCCAGCTCAGAAGCCCCGAAAGGTGTTGAACATCTCGCCATAGGCTGTAGGACGTTCCCAAGTCGCTGGCATGTCACGTCGCAGACTGTTCAACTGAGGGACAGCCCCAAACCAGCCTTTCGGCTTGACCGTTTGAATTTCCCAGGCCCACTCTATGTCTTGGTGGGTCTCCCACTGTTTCTTTTGTCCCCCTAAATACGGGGATTGGTAGTGGCTGCTCTGAGCTGAGCGGTGGCCAAATAAGGCACGGGAGGCTTGGGTTTCTCATTAACTCGAGTGGATATAGTCCCATCTCTCAGAGCACCAGCCAGTTTTGCTGCCTCCACCCCAGCCCTGCTGTCCCTCCTTCCCTGCCCAAGCTCCCACCTCACTCCGCAGCCCAGGACAGTGACCGCTCCCGGGAGGACAGCGGAGGAGCTCTGGGATGGACAAGAAAAGCAAAATGCAAGCGGAGAAGGTAACCGTGGCTTGGTGGTATTTTTGCACTAGAATTTCTGCAGGAGCCCGGCACCGAGCAATGGCATTTATTGCTTGCCAAGACCAAAACCGACAAAAAAAATCCCCTCCCCTAATTAATTGCTCTTTGATGCCTGCATACTGAGCGCAGGGGCAAAGGGGTCAAGGGATTATTTTTTTATCTTTAAGAGCTCCGTCAGCCCATCGGATAATTTTAACTGTGATGGAAGAAAATAAGACTTGAAACAGCACTGCTGACAGAAACACCATTCTGGTCATTTTTTTTCCTCGTTGTCCTGCTTCAGCAGCGGTGCTGCCCGGGTGCTGGGGATGGGGCAGGGCACGCTGCTGCTCCCGCCGGGAGCCGTGCCGGGGCGAGGACGGGCAGCCCAGCAGCAGCGAGAGCCCCGGCACTGATTGCTCTTTGCAAGGCAACGCCGCTCTGCCCCGGGGGCCTGATCCTGACCCCCCTCCCCAGGGGCTCTCCCCTCTGCCCCCCTCCCCAGGGGCTCTCCCCTCTCCTTCGGAGCCAGCCAAAATGCCTGTGCTGCTGCAGCAGCGTCCCCGGGTGCCGCTGTCCCGGCCCGCTGGGCAGCGGGGGCGCTTGGGACGGGGTTGGGGTGCAGCCCCCCCCCCCAGGTTTGGGCAGGGTTAGGACAGAAGGGTTGAGGTTGTTCTCTGCTTCCTCCTTCAGCACCTCACGGGAACGCTGGTCCTCTCCGTCTTCACCGCGGTGTTGGGCTTCTTCCAGTATGGCTACAGCTTGGGTGTCATTAACGCCCCCCAGAAGGTAAGTCAAGCCCCTCCAGCCACGCACCTCGGCCAAGGGACGAGGGCTTCAGGGCAGGCAGGGCTGGTTTGTCCCTTGCAGAAGCCCTCAGGAGGGCTCTGTCCCTTCCCCAGGCGCTATCTCCCTCAGGACAAAACCCCCGTGATAAGGCAGCGGGGTGCGAAAACTGCGAGGATTCCCCCCCCCCGCTGCCACCCGCCAGCGAGAGGAGCGGGGCTCAGCACGTCGCGGTGCCGACCCCGCTGCACGGCGGCCCCTGTGCCCAGACCCAGGGACGGCACCTCCCCACGGGTGCCAAATCCAGGCACCACGCTCCACCCGTCCCTGGGAGGTGCTGCTGGATGCCAAGCAGGGGGGGGGGGGGATGCTCCGCACCTGCCCTCAGGATCCCTCCCCAGGGAGGGAGCTGTGGGGGACCCCAAAATTTCACCCCCTGCGGAGCCCGTGATGCAAAGCTTTTCCTGGGGCAGGGAAAAAAAAAAAAAAAAAAAAAGCCCAAAACAGGGGTTGGGGGGTGGTTATAGATTTGAGCTGATGGCGTTTTCCCTCTTTGCCTGTCACAGGTGATAGAAGCCCACTATGGGCGTGTGCTGGGCATCACCCCCCTGCACAGACATGCCACCAACGCCTCCGGGGAGGATGGCACCGTCCCCATCCCCGTCACAGAGCCCTGGGCTGGCACCGAGGACCCTCTTGCACCCCGGGCTGACTCCGGCGAGGACCTCGCCGCCACCCCGCACATGCTCACCATGTACTGGTCCCTCTCCGTCTCCGTGTTCGCCGTGGGAGGCATGGTCTCCTCCTTCACCGTGGGGTGGGTCGGCGACCGGCTGGGGAGGTGAGAGGACCGTGTGTGCTGCGACTCACGTGCCACAGCCCAAGCCTTTCGGTTTGATTTTTCCCTTAGAACCGTTTCCTCCCCATAAAAACGCAGTTGGTGTCATTTTCCCCAATTTAATTAAAAAAAACCAAAACAAACCAAAACAAACCAAACTCAAACCTCCAAAATACTGTTCCAACCATCAGAGAGGTCTGGCTTATTAAAATTCTCAATTCTAAATCAGATGTTTTATTGCACTGTTTAGCACTTCCAACAAGCAGCTGATGAGCAGCCTTGATTAAATTCCCCCCTTTCTTTCCATGGCAAAAGAGAGAGGAAGGCACCTGAACTGCGTTTGCACTGGATGTATAATATACTTTTAGCTACCCTCACTGCACTCCTGCCCAATATTTTTCAGTGCCAACGATCATTATTTTTCCCCCTGTAGTGCTGATTAAGTCACTTAATAGCTCTGATTGTATGTCGCGATGGCTGCTTTGGTGGAAAGAGGTGCCAGAAGGAGCTGTGCTGCTGCTGCCTTGCAGGGTGAAAGCCATGCGGGTGGTGAACGTCCTCTCCATCGCTGGGAACCTCCTCATGGGGCTGGCGAAATTTGGGCCGTCTCACATGCTCATCATCGCCGGGAGAGCAGTCACGGGGCTGTACTGCGGTAGGTCCTGCCGGGGTCAAGCACTGAAAACCAGCCCCATGCCGGGTGCTCCAGGGCTGCAGTTATGAGTTTCCTATAACTTTTAATTTTTTTTTCAGTTCAGAAGGGGTTTCACAGGTCAGAGTTTCCCTCTTTTCCCTATGTCTGTCCTTCTCGATCCAGGATCTTTCCCTGAATAATTCGGGCTGGCTCTATCATGAAATCAGTTTATTTTACATATCCTAGAAAGGAGCGAGTCCCTCCTCTGTATCTCAAGGCTCAATGGTGGTGGTGGCTGTAGTAAGAGTACGTTATTAGCCGTGCTGTTTAACAGGTTCCCTAGACAACAGTACTATCTAGCAGATAGTACAGGAGCACTGTACGTAGCGATGATAAGATAGTAGGCAAATAATATGGAATTATATTACAATTAGCTCAGAAAAAACAGCTCATTATCACTGTTACTGGTTTGCAAACACAATACTCTGCTCTGAAGGTTCAAGGCAAGTTTTAAGAAAGCTCTTTGCTCTGTGATAACTTCTCCCAGTAGACGATCCCTGCTCCATGCTTGTATATGTGTGTTCAAGCGTAAAGGCTTCCCAGCTTGGGGCTCTGGAGCCGTTGCAGAGCGCAGGTGGTTCCCAGCCAGGCACGAGGGACTTGGTGGGACGCGGGCTCCATCCTCCTTTGCCGTTTGGGGAGCAGTTTCTGCTGGTTGCTGAGCTGTGCTCCAGAAGAGGTGACGCCTGCATGTGCTCGGTGTAGGGCTCTCCTCTGGACTCGTGCCCATGTACGTCAGCGAGGTCTCGCCCACGGCCCTTCGAGGAGCGCTGGGGACGTTGCACCAGCTTGCTATCGTCACGGGCATCCTCATCAGCCAGGTAAGAAGGAAAGCACACGAGTCCAGAGAGGCTATTTCAGAGATTAGGGATGGTCCAGTGATACACTGGGGTGTCACTCACCGTTCCGCCCCAAATCTTAAAGGGAGTGCAAAGCTATCTGCTCTAATGGGGTTTAACTCCTACCTTGAGTCAGAGGTGTCTTAACAAAGACGGCTTCTCACAAAATAGAAAGCACTTCTGCAAACAATTTTTCTTGTCCCCTAGGAATTTTTTTTAAGCATCTTGTCAGAGTCAGGCTGGATCCTGAACATGAGATCCCTGATATTCAGGTACTTCAAAATGACTTAGTCAGAGAAGTAGGGATCCCAGTGTCCCCACCAGCACTGCCCACTGTGGCAGGAGTCCCAGCTTTGTGATAGACAGGCATATTAATGTACCAAGAACCAACACATCCAGAAATATTTTACGTAACCACAAAGTTCATCTAATCTGATCAAGCCAAAGACTATGGACAGGCCGTGGGGGAAAAAAAAACTTTCAAGGTAGGTCCTGCTGGATTCGCTGGCTGTGTGAATACAAAAAATGCTTTGCAAATTATGGAAGGAAAAAGGTTGCAAGTACTCACAGCCCCCCTGCAGCGCCTTTTTCAATGCCATAATCACACCCTGAGGCAAGGCTCAGGCTATCCCGAGCCTCACGCTGAGCTGCGGCCCCGGTGCCCAGACTGTGCTGGTTAGTGGCCGGGCAGCTGGGGCATCTCGCATCGCGTGGACCTCGTGTGCCCATAAAAACCCATACCCTAAAAACCCAGCAGAGCCAGGTCTGAGGAGAAAACAAAACCAGGACAACTGGCACGCCTGTATTTGCTGAGCTGTTTACGCCGCGGTTCTGGCCAGGCACAGGTCTCCTGCCAGTGGCACGTCCCGAGGAGGACCGAGTCACCCCGGGGTGGGGAACAGGCTTGGAGAGGTTTGTCCCACAGCACCCGTAAGCCAAAGTCTCGCTCATGGTGTTCTACACCATCTATCCATTCCCTCCTTGTAAACGAGCATCATAAGCAAAGAAATCAAATTGTTAGGATTGAAAATTGGTATTTGCTTCTAGCTTTCTTCCAGGTTGTCACTTCGAAATGCCGCAGTGGTCAATCGCTCTCTTTTTCTAGGGTGCAAAATACACCATTCACACATGCCTCAATTATTCCAGGTCCTCGGACTAGACTTTCTCCTGGGCAACGACGAGATGTGGCCCCTGCTCCTCGGTCTGTCCGGTGTGGCTGCCCTCCTGCAGTTCTTCCTGCTCTTACTGTGCCCCGAGAGCCCCCGATACCTTTACATCAAACTGGGGAAAGTAGAGGAAGCTAAAAAAAGTAAGAAAAACACGCATTCTCGGTTTGTCTGGAGTTGTTTTTACACTATACATTGTATTAAACACAGAAGGGAAAGCCCAGCTGAGGGCTCACACATGTAACTGGGTATAGTTGCTCCATCCCACGCAACACATCTGCAGGTGGGATTTCGGACACGTGCATGTAGTCACTACCTAAGGCACACTTGCTCCTCTGTCGCTGCGGGTGGCGTGAGCCTTAGCATGTTACTCCTTTCCATCAGAGAGATCACATCTAGTAGATGCCACCCCCAAAACCTCCGTTCAGTTGGAAGGGTTTCAACCAGGTGTAAAAATGACGTCTCCTGGAGGACAGCTCATCTCTCTGTCCTCGCTGCTATTTGCAACTACACAGCAAATCCAGAGAGGTTACTGCAGCTGCGTATTCATCTTCCAGCGTGGCCCTCCTTGGCTGGTTCCAGCCACTTCTGCGAGGAGTGAGAGCAGTCAATGGTAGGACACGGCTGGAACTGAGATAAGAAGCGCTGAGCCGCTGAAGTGTAGATTAACTCTGGACCAGAAACTGTTGAGATAGGTTTGCATGGGACTAGTAAGCGTTGCTGAGGGACAGGGCTTGAGTGTGGTGTCTCAGAGCTTTCGCAGAACTAATGTGCTGCTGCCCCTTGCCAAGCAGACCCACTTCTGGGGCTTGATGTGCCACAGGAGCAAGAGGACACTTCTGTCCATGTGGCTGGCTTACCCTGAGTTTTGGCTAGAGAGATTCTTGTCCTTGCTCTACCCCTTATCTACCACTGAAAATCAAATGGTGATTTTTTTTTTATTTTTTTTTTCTCTTAAGGTTTGAAAAGGCTCAGAGGCAACTGTGACCCAATGAAAGAGATTGCTGAGATGGAAAAGGAAAAGCAAGAAGCTGCTAGTGAAAAGAAAGTCTCCATAAGTCAGCTTTTCACCTCGTCGAAGTACAGGCAGGCTGTCATCGTGGCGCTGATGGTGCAGATATCTCAGCAGTTCTCAGGAATCAACGCGGTGAGTCTCCCCAGACCGTTTGCCTTTAACGAAATCCACGCTGAGCACGAAAAGGCAACGCTGGCTCCATCCCAGCCGTGTAGGGGTGAAGAGGAGGCTTTCCCATCCCTGCCGCAGGCTCCTCGGCCGGCGCTCCGGGTGCTGAAGGCAGACCTCACCGCCCAGCCGGGCTGCGGGAGGGGAGAAGGGCGCGAGGGAGCTCAGCACAAAACCTGCTGGCTCAGCAGACCCACGCGGAGCTCTCCCGTGACCCTCCTCACACCTGAGTTGGTCAGCAGTTCGCTCTCCTTAACGACTACCCGCTCACCCCAGGAACCACGTACTCGCTGTCTTCTCGCTATTTTTAGCTAAGCAGTTTTTGCAGCACCTCCCGGGATACCAGAAATCACCATTTTACACCCAGGAGCGTGGAGCCTGCTTTTCAAATACTGGCTAAGACTCACGTTTTTGAAAGTCTGGTGGCAACGTTACAAAGAGTGGGGCCTCCCCACCAGCTTTCAAAACTCTAAGAGCATTTCCACATCAGAAAGCAGAGCAGCACACGGGGGTGCCCAGCCTGGCACGGAGGAGCACCCCGCAGCGCCCGGCTGCCCTGGCTCGAGGCCATGCCCAGCCCCATCCACCACCCATTTACCCATTTACCTTCTGCCCTGAACTTCTACCAGATAGGAATCACCTTATTCTTAGAGAGAAGGGAGAAATTTGAGTCGTTCCAATGTCACAAGAATATTTTTAAATACAAGTAAAACTCAGACATATTAAGGTATTCATCTCCAGCGCTCGGTGCTGCTGATGTGGCTTTCAAGCTTAAACACAGGACCACACAGAAGAAAACAGTTTTAAATGTGCAAATGCAGCAGCTCAGGGGGAGGAATTTCAATGGGATTTTTAACTCACTCTGGCTCCTTTTAAAGTTTCAGCTTTAATTATTATAATAAGCCATTAAAAGTTGAAAAACTAATTATAATTAAATTACTTCATATCTCAGCCACACAAGTGCAACTCTTCCCTCAAGAGAACAAAAAGTTCCACCAAGCCTGTTGCCTAATCCTCCATCCTAATGTATTTTGATAGATCTTTTACTACTCTACAAACATTTTCGAGAGAGCTGGAGTTGACCAACCAGTTTATGCAACCATTGGCGTTGGAGTGGTGAACACAGTCTTCACTGTTATCTCCGTAAGTAAATATTTCTGCCTCCCAGACTACGAAAACACGTAAGATGCACTGTGGTTTTGAAACACGATTTTATCCTGGAGCTGGGGCTGGGATTCGCAGTTTTGCAGGGCTGACCCTGCACGCCTTACAGGAAAAGTCATTCCCTTGGCAAGTCTCATTTGACAAATCAAGCCTTGAAATAGAGCCCGTTGCTATCAAACAGCACTGCTAAATGCCTCATGGGTAAAAACTGCGTCACCGTGGTCAGGGAAGCTCTGGTAGCTCAGAATTTCTCCCCAAAATAAAAGTTGCCTTTGAGACTGAAATTCTGCAGGTCCTATTCCCCTCGGGGAGCAGGCAGGGGATTGGGGTTGCGACGGGGAACCCAGCAGCTCACAATCTCCCTCTTACCTGTTATCTTTCAAATTGTTTTCTGTATGTACATAGCACCTGCACAAGTGATATCCCAAGGCTATTCCACAGTAATAAAAGTAATCTAGCATCTATCCTCACCATATCTATGCAGTGCTCTGCAGCAATAAAGGGATGGTTCCATTTTCACAGCCTTTCCCTTCGTTTGTCTCTCTCCTGAGAGTGTTAACACAATTCCTATCAGCAGGCAATTATTTTTTTTAATGTGGCCATTAATATAAGATCAGGAAATGTCAAGCCCATTTCTCTCACATCTCTAGAGAGACCTAGGGAGCAAAGGACTTTTACCCATCACAAAGCAGGACTAGCTGCAAGGTAGAAATGCACAGCTCTAGGGCAAGCGTGCATGAGATAGGAGGTCCTGGGGTAAACCTGCTTTAGAGGAAATCCATCACAGGTCCTGTACAGAGGAGCAAACGTGATGTTTATTGTGAAATGAGGCACGGAGGCGTGCTGCTGGAAGAGGTCTTTCTCCAGCTTGGAAGGTCTCATGCAGTTCAATCTCTACGACAGAGCTGTGGTACTTGCAGCCTGGGGCATTTGCTCTTTGCTTCTTTTGGCCGTGAGCACTTAAAAATTACCTGCGTTTGTCAATAAATGACAGACCCTGACCAAAAGCCAGAAGCACTGACAGCCAGGTGGACCTTGGCAAGGGGAGAAGGGAGAGTGGAGACTCACCCTCTGCAACTTAACGAGTTAGCAGGGTGAACTGCCTCCAGCAAAAGAGATGGTCTCTTGGAAGCATAAATCACTTGGTGTAATGGCAGGAAAGGTTGAGCCGATGGCCAAAGGCGTCCTTTCAAGCAGAGGGGAAGGAGAAGGCAGACTCAGAGACTAGTGCACGGTGTCTTAAGGCAGGCCAGACGCACGGTCCTCTGGAGTTACCTACATCCCCTCGCTGGGTGAAGTGAGTGGTACAGATTTAGATGTCAAAAGTTGGGTGAGATGACTGGAGGTCACCAAGAGGAGTCGAGAAGGAGCAGGCTAAGCCTGCTAGCAGGGAAGCAAAAAGAGTCTGGGAGCAACTGGAGGAAAAATCCTGATGTCAGCTGTTATACAGCTATCCCTGTCCCATGCTGTCACTTGAACCATGCTCCATTTTGAAGGCTGCTGCCAAACAAATGCAGACCTAGTAAGTTTATTCTTCCTGACCAAAAAAAAAAAAAAAAAAAAAAAAAAAAGAGAGAGAAAGAAGTCCATAGTCAGCAATGCATGTGTAGGAGCAGTGGGAAGTCCTGAGGGCTTGGAAATACATGAGCTCTGAGTCTATGTGGTTTGACTTGCCCTGTCTGCAGGCTGGCTGCTCAGGCTGGCTCCCTAGCAGCCACCAGCAGCGCTTCTGACACTTGGAAACCAGCACGTAAATCTCTACCACGCGGGCTAGAAGAGCAGGAGTGCAGTGTGGCAGTGGCAACAGGTTGCCCATTGCTGATCGGAGCTCCTGAGAGCGGCGGTGCTGGAGGCTGAGCTGCTGCATGTGTTTCTACAGGTCTTTCTGGTGGAGAAGGCGGGCAGGCGGTCCCTGTTCCTGGCTGGTTTGATGGGCATGTTAATAAGCGCCGTGGCCATGACAGTTGGACTTGTGCTCCTGGTAAGGATTTCTCTCCGTTTTTTCTCCACGGTTTGCAAATGAGAGAAGACAAACCACCCTTTAAAGCGAATGTTTTGCATTTTCATCTCGAAGAAGTTCAGAAAACATTTCTCCTTGTAAGGGACGGTTCCAAGTGGCCATAGCTGGAGCCATCTCTGGTTACAGCAGGGCCTGAGGACATTGCACTCTTTGGCCCCTGAGATATCCCAATGCTGCTAGAAAGGATGTGTGTCCCCCATCCCCTCCCTGAGCCCGCTGACAACCTCGGCTCCTTACACAGCAACTGAGCGATTCCCACGGCATAATCCTGTACCTGCTAAGAAAACCCAGGGCATACCTCCACATGCAAACAGTGTGTGCCCTAAACCCTCAACCTGCGTCTCCCTGGCTTGGTGCAGGAATACTAGACTGGCATCTTGTCATAAAAAAAAGGGACAAATTATTCCTTCTGACACCCAGGAGAGGGGTCAGGCTCTAAGACATGGGGCAGAACAGGCAGAGGATGGAGCCAGCCCCCATCAAAGTCAGTCCAAACCGCTGGTGCAAGCCCCTATCAAGATGCAAAACCAAATAAGGGGTGGGCTCCTTCACTGAACACCCTGGTTGTTAAAGACAACACCATCTTGCCTCTTCCTGGCCACGCTGCAGGCGAGGAGAGGGCTGGAAGGCACAGCTGAGCTGATAGCTGTGAGCTCCAACAGCCCTCTGCAAGCCGCAACGCTGGCACCACCCGCACAGCCAGCACCCCAGCACAAGAGTTTAGAGCTTTAATTATTCATGCCCAGTCCTCATTTGTCTGAACAGAAAGAAATGTCTTTAAAAGAAGCCTAATTAAAGTAATTAGTGATCATTAATGAGAGTCATGCTGGGACTGTAACACCAAGCACCTCTTGCAGAGCCAGTTTGCCTGGATGAGCTATGTCAGTATGGTGGCGATCTTCCTCTTCGTCATCTTCTTTGAAGTCGGGCCCGGGCCCATCCCCTGGTTTATTGTAGCCGAACTGTTCAGCCAAGGCCCGCGCCCCGCCGCCATCGCCGTCGCCGGCTTCTGCAACTGGGCCTGCAACTTCATCGTGGGAATGTGTTTCCAGTACATAGCGGTAAGAAACCCCTCTAAAACCACGCAAAGAAAGAACAGGCATGGCCTCGCTGCTGGGCTCCCACAGCAGCCCAGTGGAACGTGGATGTGCCTCCCAGATCTCTGTCCCCAAGCCCCGCTGGGCTCCTCGGCCACCCGGGGTGGGAAGGGGAAGCCGTCCCTGCGGTGCTGATGGTGGTGTCCCCTGTTCTTACTTCCCCCACTGCAGGATCTGTGTGGACCGTACGTGTTTGTGATCTTCGCGGCTCTGCTTCTAGTCTTCTTTCTGTTTGCACACTTCAAAGTACCAGAGACGAAAGGAAAGTCCTTTGAGGAGATCGCAGCTGTGTTCCGCCGCAAGAAGCTCCCGGCCAAAGCCATGACTGAGCTGGAAGACCTGCGTGGCAGTGAGGAGGTGTAGACATCGCCGTGCACCCAGAAAGGAGGGACCGAGCATGGACCTCCTTCAGGCGCCGTGGGAAGAACATTGGGCAAAAGTCTCATTTCACAAAAACCTCGCAGCTGGCAGACCAAGAGGACCCGGCCATCTGATGCCTCCTGGCTGCTGCGAGCCACAGATGCTAACCCGGTGTTTTACTCTGAAATACTCGGCACAACTGGGCTGCGGGAAAACCCAGGGGAAGGACGGGAAGAATATGTTACGTGTGTGTCTCCATGCCTCGTTGGAAGAGCCCAGCGGGACCATGATCATACCAGCTGGCAAAGCATCACTCTGAGCAGGGTCATCACTCAGCTGGAATGAAGGAAAGAGGCGTCAGCTGATGCTGTGGCCTCACGTTTCCACCTTTTCATCCCCTGCTTGCTGCTTGCTTCTGCTGAGTGATCTGATGCCCTGAGAAACCAACTGCTAGCGCAGTTGTGCCACCAGCACACAGCACTGAGTGCCCGAGGTGCTAAGGAAAACAGACTGAGCAAACTCCCCCTTATCCTGACTGTGCAAAGGAAGAAGGTGGATCCCACCTCAATCGGTTGGGATGCTCCTCGCTTGCTTTGCTATCTGCACATTATGGAAATGCTGTCCAATCTCATCTGGATTTCTCAAGTCACAACATTTTTAGGAGAATCTGAGAAACTCTGGCTGAACTGATGTGCATTTTTTTTTTTTCTTTTGGTTCAGCCAGACTATTTACCTGCTCTTTCCACCTAGGAAGCCTCTCCTCCCTCCCTCATCCCTGCACAAGACACAGCACGTCACTGACCACACAACGGGCACCTCCTGACCCCCAGGTCAGGAGACACGAGTCCTGCTGCCATCCCTCCCACGGTGTGACCACCACCAGGTCACCTCCCCTCACTGTCCCCCCCTCCCCACCCTCTCCGTCTGCCTTCCCTTCCTTTTGTACAATGCTTGGAGCCACAGGCGCCAGCTTCAGCCGAGGCCTCGGGCTGCCCGTACGGTAACAATTAATGATAACCCAAAAGGGAAATGCGTATTGCAGCGTTAGCTGGAAGGTGCCCCACTGATCTGACCCCCCCACTTTGCACCACTTATGGATTTGCTGGCTGGATGTGCTTCAGCCAAGATAGTGTGCAAGCAGGAGGTTCTGTTGTTTTTATAGCCTTGTTTGTGCTTGTTTTGCTTTTTTATGAGATACTTTCATGTGACAAAATCAAACACAAGGATTTTTCTTCCCTTTTGGGGGGGATATGTTGGAATCATTGCAAAATCCTGCTCTCTGTTTGTTTGACTTTTAAGATTTGTATGTTCCTTGTTGTGATACCAGGCTACTTTCTAGCAACTTTCTCAGGATAGAAACCCATTATTTATTTAGAGATGAAACACCAGCATTGCTCAGTCACTGCGAGCTCATTGCCAGTGAAGCAGTGACCATAAGGTAACCAAGGATCGAGCATAATGAAAAGCATGAGAATGGATGGGCCAGGGAGAATCACAGGCTGCTGCTACGGGTTTGGTTTTAGGGAAGGTTCATGCTCCTTTCCATGTGCCTGAACTTCTTTCCTTTGTAGACTTTACTCTCTTGATATTATGACTCTAAAGCAAATTCTGGTCCCTCCCAAGTGACTGGAAGTGTAGCCACGAGGTCCACTGGGACAGGTGTCTGGCCCCGGTATGTGTACTGAAGCAAGAAGATTGCACCAAAGGCTTTCCCGGAGCGACTGCTGGGATTTAGCAAGAGGAGAACTGGGTCAATGCCGTCTTGTGCTACAGCGGCAGAGGACCTGGGCCTGACCCGGGGCATGCAGGGTGCGTGGGAACCAGGGCCGGGGCTGTGGTGCACGGAAGAGAGCAGCAGAGCTGGGGCGCAGGCTCTGGGTCGAGCCGTCAGCCTGTGTGCTGCACGCAGGTCTCCCCAGGTGAGACTAGCAGAGATGGCAGGCTCACAAACTCTCCAGTTAGTTAAATATTATAATGGATTGTCTGAATGAAAAAAAAAAAGGGGGGGGGGGGCGGAAATTAGTTCTTGCTTTTAGCGATGTTATCTATGTCTGTTACATAAAAGTGACAATGAACAACATCTACAGCATGTGTCGGCTTGCACTGTTGGGGTTTTTTCCCTCTGTACATCTCAGACATATGTCCGACTCCAGATGGGAGATATTTTCCTGGCAGGACATGTTTGCTCCATAGGTGGTAATTGCTGTGCAAGCTCTCAGCTAAATCCCTTTGAAATGGATGGTCCAGAGGGGAGACTGCGGGGTTGGGAGGCAGCTCTGGAGCCGGTGGGACCTGGCTCTGCATCAAGATGAATCCTCTCTGGAGGTGTGCTGGTGTCTAACCCCAGCTGTCCCCACTGCCCACCTGTAAAAGCCCACTGTAAAGCACACCTCTGCTTGCAGGGATACTGGTGCGGCTTAAAACCTGGTGCTAGGGCCTCTCTAGGCACGGCAGGCAGCAGGAGCATTTCGGGAGAGATGGGGTTCAAAGCAGATTTGCCCATGCTCAGAGGGCAGAGCCAGGCTGGGTTCTCTCCAGGAGCAGGGGACGGGACAGCAGAGGCAGGGTGGCAGGGAGGGTGCTGGCACCTGGGTCCCAGCTGTCCCCGCTCGGTCCTTGTGAGCCGGCCAGTCTGTACCAACAGAACTGCTGGAGCTATAGTCACACCATGGTCACACAGGTGGTTGAACATGGGAAGGGCTGTCCAAACCCGCTTCACTAAACTCCTGCTCAGCTTCGTTCTAACGCCCGAGGGGCATCAGTCAGTGGCACTGTCGGTAACTCAGCAGGGAGGGGCCATTTATTTAGCAACACTGAGCAGCCAGCCTTTGTTTTCCTGGGTGTTACTAGGCGAATGACAATAGAAAGCCTGATCTGATTACCGTAGTGCAGCACATACATTAGTTTAACAAAGCCCACAACATTAAGGCTACCCATAGCTATATCTCCAAACTTCCTGGAAGATCTACCTGGGGGTTCAGAGGCAATTAAGTAAAATTGGTGAGTGCTGAGTTTCAGGTTGTGCTTCCTTGCAGCAGCTCCTTGGTGGAAGGAAGCGAGTCTTCTCCTCCCAGGTTGGGACTTCCCACCAGGGACCCTTTCTGGCCTTCCAGGGCCACAACTGGACAATATGCCTTCATGTATTTTTTTTAATTATAATTTCATTTATTTGTATATTCCCCTGGAGATGATGCTTTGCTCACCCCGAGACGTTTCAAATCAATTCTGTTAATGGTTGCAGTGGGGCGGGCTGCAGCCCGGGACAGGATGAGCAGAGCTCGGCCCCTGTCCTCCCCAGGGCTGCGGGGCAGGGAGTAAACTGGTACGCTGGGCTGAACTATCACAAGTGCACTTTTACCACGTATGATGATGCAGGAAGGGGTCATACAAGTTGGTTAAATCTGCAGGTATGTTTACTTTTGTCACATCAGGCTGGTAATTAGGACTGTGCACTTTATCTGTCCTTGCTACACGCAAGTTCCAGTTAAAACTTGCTCTTGAGGCACAGCCTGTTGAATCATTATTTTTATCTCTCAGTGTAACAGTTTTACTAAGTTGCTAATCATTAAGAAAATTTAAAATACTGGGTCATACTTATTAGCTAAATGGCTGTTGCACTTTAGTTAACATGCGAAATGTGTTCTTATACTGTGGTTGGCTAATAATGCAATATAATTAATAATCCATGAGAAAGCATCTTGTCAGCAAGAGCTTTGACAGTGTTTTCCTAACGTGCTGAGATGACAGCCATTAAGACTTTTCTGTTGCGTCAGTTAAATGGCTAATGATATCTAGTTTCCCACTCTCTAGGCATAATTTTAAAATTAGTTTGACTTCCCTAATCCAATAAACTCAGGACATTTGGCCCCATTAACACTTTCCACACTAATTTATCACAGATTTTTCTGCCTCACTTCAACATGTTTTTCATCACTGAGATGCGCTACCCTCCATCTCCTGAGTCAAACAGCCAATGAGGATGAAGCTGAACCAAGTACTACATATGCAGGGACCAAGGCTTTGAGACATGATGCATTTTCTGACGTGCTCAATGTCCTCACCTTTCACTGAAATCTATGGGAGCTGAGGAATTACAAGGCAGAACATTAGGTCTGGATCCAGCAGCACATGCAAGCATGAGATTTAATTTAAGGTAACTGAGCCTATGCTCAAGTGCTTCACTAAATCCTGAGGCAACGCTGGCAAGCTCTACCCAGAGGCACTGCCTGAATAGCTGTGCTGAAAGGGAAGGAATCTCCTCCCCAGCGGGGTGGCAATAAATCCTGGCTGTAGATCAGCAGCCCTTAAATTTTACAGGCTGTAGATACAACTGCAGACCCAAGGCTTGGGTAGTCCCTCGTGGTTTTGCCTCCCCGTATTCTGTTCAGGAGAGAGAGCGGCTCTCGTGGCTATAAAAAGCATCAGAGCCCCCCAGGTCCGTACCAGCACCACACCACTGCGGCTCCAGGAGGAGGGAGCAGCTGGAGTTACAATGTGCTCTCCATCTTCCTAGTGGGAGCTAAAGGTGGCTCCCACCAGCTCAATGTCCCGGCCCTGTCACCGCTTGCCTCCATCTCCAGTGTGTGCCCAAGGTAAGCCCCTGAGTATTTCAGACAGCGCAGCCCTGTGTGCACACCTCATCCCACAACACTTCTCCAGCTGGGCAGTTGTGTGCACCACAGAAAGGGAAGGGTGACCATGCAGGAGGCAGAGGCAGTACTGCAGTCATTTTTAAGCATCCCAGGACGCGCAGCCCCTAATAATTATAGGAACCATCCAACATCTCAGAATCCCTTTCTCAAGGCCGATGCAAATGCAAGGTGAGTCACTGGCATGGCATTCGTTCTTCCTAGGAAGCAGAAGGTGAGCAGCAGGATTAAAGCAGCGCCTGGAGCAGAGTGGGGTGCCTATGGCAAGGTTACTGCAGAGGCTCTTTAATCCAGTTCATGCTACACAGAGAGAGTGTGCGTAGGAGCTCAGAGGGTCTGCAGAGCACAGCACTGGCCTGTGGAAGTAAGGGATCATCGGTCCCCAGCCTCTCTCAAGCCCTCCTGCTCAAGGCTGAGCCCAGAAGCCAGTGTGAACCCTCACCCCCGGCCGTCAGGACACGCCGGTGGGATCCCAGGTAAGACAGCTCAGCCGTTGAAAGAGAGATTCGTGCGCAAGTTGGAACAGGGGTGTTTACACTGCTTTGTTCATGGCCGGACATTTCTAATCTTGTGACCTGCACCAAGTCTTGCTGAATGAGCCTCCTTCCGCCTTCCCCAGGTGCTCACCCACCGCTGAGGGGAGCAAAATTGGGTAAACTGGATGTTTACACCAGTGCCAGCTGAAACACACACTCTCCAGGGTAGGCTTTAAATGACGTGATTTAGAGTATCAGACATTTCTCCAGAGCATAACTGAGAACAGATACAACTCACTCACTTTAAACCTTCCAAATGTTTCCTACTCCCTGATCACTTCTGCAGTGCTATTCATATAAAGACTCAGATAGGAGAACCAAAGCTTGACAACATACCTCCGCCTTCTCAAAAGAAAATAGGTGTGTGTGATCCAGCTGTGCAACACTGGAAAGGAAATACATTTACATGTGAAAGGCTATGTTTACAAACATGCTTTGAAATCAAATTGCTTTTGTTGTATAGAAAAATGGGATAATCACATTAGTACTATCAAGAAACACACTTTAGAAAACAAATGCTGATCCAGACAAAGGAATGATGCCTGCAAGCAATGACTGACGGAGCTGATTTCCAATTTTTTTATTGAATCTGGAATAAAGGCTGCCTTGCAATATTTGGTTTGTGTCTCAAAAAGAAGTATCATCTCCAGTTGCACTTCAGTAAAAAGACTTGATTTTGTCCAGAAGATCTCTCGAGTAATCCAAAATGAAACTGCTAACTATGGAAAATCAAGCAAATTTATAACCTGACACCCGAGGAAAAAAAATGTATCCATAGTGCTTAGCCCCAGTCTGCTCTGGCTTGGGCTCAGAA